TTAGTTTAATTAGCTTCAAACGTAGAACTTCTTTGTTTTAATGCCCAGGAGCTCCAAATGTGATCCATTCTGGGGACGTGGTGTGGGAGTTTTCCAGAGTTTCTAACTTGCTGGCTCTGTACAGTTGCCAGCAACTGACTGCGTTAATAAGTTGGTTAAATAGTCTTGTGAGTCCCTCATCCTAAATGTGGGATTTGGGATGCTCCTTTATGAGAGAGTGTAGTTTTGCTATTCTTGACTAAGGCATTTCCTTGACCTCACTCTGAATTGGTGGTGGTTGATCTAGAACTAAAAAATAGGGTGGTTGGTTATTCTCGAAAAAGAAATGGCACATCTTACACGCAGTTGTTCCTCCCTATAGTTTTTTTTAAGGAACTATGGGTAACAGTTGGGACATGGTTTGTGTTCTGGTTATATAATGGTGTAATTTATCTTTCATTCTTGAACATACTTTATCATTGTAGACATAAAAAGGAGAAAAAGAAGGATAAAGACAAAGAGAGAAGTAGAGATGAAAGGGAACGGTCAACAAGCAAGAAAAAAAAAAGCAAAGACAAAGAGAAGGATCGAGAAAGAAAATCCGAGAGTGATAAAGATGTGAAAGTATGTTTAAAAATCTGTTTAAATTAGTGCCTTTTAGTAAAGTATTAACCTTAAATCCGCAAGGGCTTTGAAAGCAAGTTTTACCTTTATTTTTATCTCGGCAAAGCAGGTCACAAGGGACTATGATGAAGAAGAGCAAGGATATGACAGCGAGAAAGAGAAAAAGGAAGAGAAGAAAATGGCAGATTCTTCTTCCCCTAAAATAAAGGAGTCTGCAGTTGACAAAGGAAGCGGAGATTCAGCAAGGGAGTCCAAAGTAAATGGGGATGATCATCATGAAGAGGACATGGATATGAGTGACTAAATTTTGCCTTTGCAGTGAACACAGCTGCAGACGTGCATCAGTGTCATTCCTGTGTGATTCTTTTATGCTGTACTTGTTAATCCTAAAACTAGATGTATACAGCTCTAAGCTATAAATGGTTTGTAAAGCTCCCGATACTAATTCACATCAAAAGCTTTATAGAAAGGTAACCATCCTTGTTATGGCCAAAAGGGATTGCATAGCCAAGCAATTTTTACTAACTTGGTGATGCTTCAAGCAAAAGTAAAAAAGCTGCATGCATCTACAGCAGGCATGGATTGTTTGTTGTATGATCTCCTTTAGTAAATCAGCTCACTTATGATAGTGTTTCTAGAATTTGATTCATTGCAGTAATAGAGCAGTATAGGGAATGCACTGACTGCATGTTGATTGTGGCAGAAACATCCTAAATGTTCTAAAATCCTACAACATATGATGGATCTACTTAACGGTCTTAAGTGTGACTACACAAAAATTGACAGTACATCTGAAAATAAGCATTCTGATATAGATAGGGGTTTTCTGTTTTGTTTGTTTTGTTTTTAAGCCACGTGACTTTTTTTTTTTTTTTTGGTGGGTTTTGTTTGGCTTTGACAAAGTTAAAATGCACTAACCTTTCTGAGGGCTTTTTTTACTCTGTCAGTTCAAATCCATCTCAGGCAAGAAAGAGCAGCAAGTCGTGATGGTTCCTAACTTTTCTTTCTCTTGGGCCTTGGGAGGTAAAAATCCCTGCTTGACCAGTGCCCAGTGATTAAAGGTTAATTTGTGCAGTTTCCGTAATCCAGATCGTTTTATTTGTTCATTCAGACATTGCAAAAGGGTAGTGCATTTTAAAATTGACCTTTGTATGCTTTTAAAAGCAAGTCTACTTGATAATGTACTTTTTACTTGATCTCAAGTTGTATAAACTAATAAATTTGTGTTTACTGTCACTGCAGTAGTAATCTTATGCACACAGTGATTCCATGTTATATGCAAAGTAGTTAGGCAAGCTGTTTCTTAGTTACAGAAATTACAGGGCTTTTACTTTTGTGCAAGTAAAAAGACAAAAGTAGGCTACAGTCTGTGCCATGTTGATGTACAGTTTCTGAAATTGTTTTACAGAACTTTGATAATAAAACCCTTAAACTTATACTCATGTTCCTATAAAACTGTACTGGTATTTATTTATACAATTGAATGTATGAAACTTTACCTCATTCATTTAGAATTTATATTTTTCCTCATCTACCTATTTTAGCAAGACAATAACTTAACTTCATCTCTTTAAAAACTGCAAGTGCAGGGACAAAACTGTTAAGCCTGCCGTTTTAGCTCTAAGTATGTTGTACTAAAGAAAGATTTATTTTACTTTATTTGTGAATGAAGGGAACAGGCTTAAATGGGAATATAAAGGTATTATGGGACAAGTACTTTTAAAAAGAAATATGTATTTGTAAAAAACTTTTGTATTTTCATTGAAATATGAACTTTCACCTTTTATCTTTAGAATGGTAATAGAAGACTAGTAGAAACAGGAGGCAGCAAGTGCTTTGTGCATATGAAGTAGGCTGTTAAGGCCAGGAACTAAACATTTCTTGGTTTAAATTAGTTAAGTTTTGGAATGAAACTAAATGGTGCTTGTGCTTCTTGAATCTGGTCAGTCAGTCACAGCACCTTCTTAAAACTGTCATTTTGCCATAGGCAAAGTGGAACTTGCGATTTAGATATGCAGTGTCATTTTTAGAATTTGTAGAAATGTAACTTTTTACCAACTGTTTTGAGTATTTTGTCAATACAGAGAGGTGTATGTCATGCAGCCAATTCTCCTAGCCTTTTATTCTTAGTGGGGAGATAGTTCTCATAATGAAATAACAATAGACACAGACAAGGTGCATGATGTCTTCATAGATGTGCCTTTTTTGTTGTCATCAAGATATTTATAATGTGAAGTTATAAGAACATAAAACAATTTATAGTAATAAAGTAAAGCTCCTTGATCCTTAGATTTTGTTGTTGTGGAAGTCATTAAAATGCTGTAAAGAAGGACCAAGTCAGTCTGTTACCACTGTATTGAGCTGCAGATGGCCTGACTTGGATATTGCAACATTTAATTACACTACACTGTGTGTAGTTTATTTTACTAACCAACTAAGTCTGTGTTTTGTATTAAAGATGTAGTGCTCTCTGCCCTAGCCTGTATATGTGGACAGGAGAAACAAGGGTGTAGGTTCACACCATGCTTGCTAGTTAAGTATGTAAGGCTACGTGTGTGTGTGTGTGTTTTACTACCTTTCAGAGTAAGAGTGTACCTTGGCTGGCTTGTACAAAATACCAGTTAGTGAAACTCAGAGCTTCTAGAGATACGATGCAAGAGGCAGGCTGTCAAACGTGTAAAAGCTTACGACCTGTCCTAAAACGTTCTCTTCAGCAGTGCTGTAAAGTCATGCCTCTGCCTTCCTGTTACAGTGCTTGAACCTGTATTAGAGGTTTACTTCCTTTCAGAAGTAAACAGAAGTTAAGCCTCATATTTAGAGCACTGAGCCAGAAGAGGTGTGTATGTATGTATGTGGGTGGTTTTGCTTGCTTTTTTTGTAGTTTAAAGTTGGCTTGCTGGTTATTACTAAGGGTTGCCCATCTCTTGAGCTGAGACTTTGCAAGTCATGCAGCAGCTACCTTACTGAGGTAGCTTAATCCTGATTTAGTAGTCACTGCACTTGACTTAAGCATTTGCTGAGGTGGATTTAACTGAGGTGGTAACTTACAGGATTTCTTCTGCTCCTAAATTATACAGAGAACTAAGCTGTTATGAATACCATTAATTTAAAAAGAAAAAAGGATTCATTTTGGTTTATACATTAGCCTTACCTTTACTGTTGCCACACTGCATCAGCTTTCATTCACATCTCTAAGACTAGCTGTTCTTAACTTCAACATTGATTCTGTGCTGATGCACATCTATCCTGTCAGCAGGCTGCTCAAGCTACAGCATTTCATTTGAAATTAACAGGTATAAACTAACTAACTGTGTCAGATGAGAATGAAGTACCACATAATCCAGGTGAAGAATGTTTTGTCCTACTCTTGCCACTGGGGAATTTTATTTTAGAGTTAGTCTAGCATGTTAGTTTAGAGAACAGTGTTTTGCTCGGCCCTACTTTAACAGTAATCTGTGAGAATTCCCTACGCTGCTGAACTAGCGAGTGTTGTTTTGCTCATTTTTAAAGTAAAATTACTTCACTATAGCCAGGCTTGTAGCTATACAGACTAATGGCTGCATGGTTGTAGCAACAGAAGAGCTACAACTGCAGTTTACTAAAATGCTTGCTTCTGTTGTTAATTTTTAAGCACCTTCTGTAACGCCTCATTTAAGTCCTGCTTTTCCCTTACAAATACGAAGGGGTTTTAGAACGTAATAGCAAATCCTTAACTTTCCAGGGGATGTCTTGACTTCTGCTTCAGCAAATAAAGTTTCTGAGGCTTGCAAGAGGTCAGAAGAACAAACTGCTGCTGTACTTTCAGGAGCCACAAGTCAAAAGACTCCTATGAGGCAAAATAACACTTTTTAGAACTTTCCAGTTTTTGCATATATAGTTCTCCCAAAAGATTACTATTATAATAGCAACAAAGACCAGTTGTCATATCTTGTTATTTAAATAAATCTATTTCTGCAGTGGAAATGAATTTAGGAGGTAAAAATGCACATTTACATAAAGATTATTTATAACACATTGAAGAAAATTTAGAAGATCTCCTTCTACCCTTCCCAATTCATTATTCCTAAACATAGTTCATTTTGGCTCCTTTAACTCCAGGTAAATACTGGAAGCTATTTCTCTCCCCCCCCCCCACCCCCCCCCCAACACACCCATCCCATTTTCAACTATTCCATTCTGTATTAGCTCAGCTGAAAAAATTCCACAGAACTACCATGTGGTAAAGAGCAGTGCTATACTGAGAATTCAAGATTTTAATTAAAAACTGACTATTAAAATACCCTTGCAGAATATAGTAGTGTGAACTTGTCTCCTCAAGTTGAAATCCTTACTCACACGTGTCTACAGTGTATGTATTCTGAAAAGTATTGTGGAGAGTTGAACTGAATGTTCAGTTTCAGAATCAAACAGCATATTTTGGTCTTTATTCTAACAAATGACACAACCTAAAAAAATACTATTAGTGAAGGTAAGTTAAAAACATGGACCACACAAATAGTAAAATGCAAAAAAGTGACATTGTTTCCATGATAGTTACAAATTGTAAGGAAATTAAATGTGAAACTGCAGCATTACAGGAAATTTGTTAATACAGATTAAATAATGCAGTTATCATTGCATGAATTAAAAATCAAGAACAAGTACATTAAAAAAAGACAATTGCTTTGAATGTCAACTTAACATGGTGGTTTTCCAGCACAAATATATCCAGAATTCTTTGTAACAAATCATTTCAATACATAAATCAAGAATTGCAGTAAAGTGAGTACAGTGACTGGAAAAGCAGCTCCTTAAAAGGAAAAAGAAAATGCATTCCCTTTGCCACAAATTAAAGCAATATTTTGGAAGACGAGTAAAACAGTTTGGTTAAGAAACAATCCTAGGAGTTCATCTGCAACAATTTCTTATTTCCGCTTACCAAAATTAATGGCTGTTTTTTAATACTTATTCATAAAAAAAATCCACAGCCATCAGAAAAAAAAGAGGGGTGAGATTACAAAAGAAAAAGCCCCACACGATATACTGAGGTTGTCTCTTCCCCAGCATTGGTACACAGAGATTTCCCCCTCTGTGAGGCATTCTTGCACCTTTGTCAGCTTTACCTCAAACACCACCATGGTGTCAGTTTGTATCTTAACATTTTGAACCTTACATCACCTCTGAAAGTTTCAATTTTTTTCCTTTTTTTTTTTCCCCCTCCCAGTTGTGCTAACCACCAGTGATATCATACAACTCAGTTACTACTCCCAGAAATTGGTTTTTAGCTATCTAGATACTCTCATATTCCAGGGTAGCTTGTTGTGATGAAAGTCCCTATAACTGCACAAGTAAAATTTCAAATATTAAAGCTGACACACCTCTTGTTATGCAGTAGTAATGAGACAACCTCTGTAAACGCACTGTGGATATGTATTCACTCTACAGGAGACCAAACCTTTTCTTAAACGCTAACACAATCTTAAGGAAAAGATAAGGGGAAAAACAAAAACCAAGATCTGCTAGATCAATCCTGCTAGAAAAGATAAATTTCCAAAAGATATCTTAACAGGAGATCAGAAGTGGTAAAGGACACCAAAGCCCACAGCACAGCTGCGGACTAAGGCTATGTCTATACTAGAAACACTTTACCCGTTTACAGCACAGGCAAAGCTTCTTTGTGGATCCATCCATACTGACAAATACACACTTTGTATCAGTACAATAAAAAAATCCTTGCAAGCAGAACAAATTATACCGGATAAAACGTTTATATCAGTGTGGACACAGTTACCACTAAAGAATTGCACCAGCACAGCTACATTGTCAGGGATCACATCTCTTCACACCTGTGGACTGCTACAGTTGCACCAATATGCAAGTCCCTCATGCAGGCTCAGCCCGATGCAAGACTTCCCTCTCGCTGGCTGAGATTCCTACAGCTTTCACTGTATCGTCCAGGAAACCATACCCAAATGTCCGTATGTTTTAATAGTGTTTAAAACTCATCACTAGGAGATGTCACTCAGACAGAATACACATCACCAAAAGTAGCAAGATGGAAGGAAATGTACTGAGAACAGTTCACCAATTCTTACTTAATGAGGCTGTCGCAGGAATCTAAAAAACAGTCACTGAACTGAAAAAGACAATTGGATTGGAGTCAGATCATTCAACTTCATATTAAGAAAAGAAGCAGTAGGGTATGTTCACTATAATAACGTAAAAAGATTACAGTCAACCAAATCTGCGTCCACTTGTGCTGACACGCCAAATTAGAACAAGCCTTAATATAGCAACCCACTATAAAAAGTTTCTGCAAATCTTAGAAGGTATCAAAGTTAGTAGTTGTGAAATCATGAAGGTTAAAAAAAACCCACAAAGTCTTCAGCCAGAGTCCATGAAAATCGCTGAAAACATTTCCACAGGCTAAACTAAATGCTTCTTTGTTTTGTTTGTAAATCTAGAATGCAGTCCATTGCAGTTGCTATATTGCCTACAATACAAAGCTCTAGCTATGTATGCTCCTTCCTATGTCAGCAAGCTCTGCAAAGATATTTTGGAATAACCAAAAATGCAAAATAATATGAAACACATAGTTCTTTCTCTAATACTGAGAGAAAAGACTTCTAACATTCACCTTACAGAGAAACGTCCTACTGTTTGCTGAAATTTCCAAGCAACTCAGTACTCTCATACGGTACCTGCACTCATTCGGGGATATGCTACTTCCATTTAGTGACCATCACAAAACCTGATCCAGCAGCACTAAACAAAACATTCTTCTCTGTAATAGAAATCTGTAATATAGAGGGCAACAGAAGGATTCTACATTTGGCCCCACTGACATTTAACCCTGACCTCTAGCACTGACAGGATGGGTCAGTCTCCACATACATTCAATCCTGGTCTCTTAATGCGAAGGATCTCAGTGCTAAGGAGGATTATGAGGTGGGTGTCAATTTATACCATAGATGTAAAACACTTTAGGAATTCATAATTACTTGGAAGAACAAGTCCTATCATTCCTACCAAATGTTCAACATCTGCTACTGATACAGTACTTCAAAAGTAATTACAAGAATTTTACATTTCCCTTTGTTTTTTCCTCCATTGTTTTATTTTCAATTTGATTTAGAATGAAATAACTCCAGTGTATCGGTCACTGTCTGCAAAGTAAACGCTACCCACCTGTCAAACTTGCAGGTTTAAAGTAATGCTGGAATAGGATCAACCTCAACTTCCTATTTTCACTTTATCTTTCTCTTGCTGATAGTGATTCAATAGGACTCCATTAACAGAGTGGATACTGCACTTCTTTAGAGCAGCCTCTTTGGATATTATATAGACAGGATTCCAGAAGTTTTGAAAGAATGTCTATTTGAAGTATTTCCACATTTGACTGATGTGCCTGACAAGTCAGCTTTTATTGCCTTGTGATAAGCTATCTCCATTTATCATCATCTGCATGGTTAGTCAGATTGGTTACCTTTACTAAGCATTGATGGTACTCTTTATAATAAAGTTTGAAACATAATTCTATTGATTTCCAGAAAAAAGTTTTAACTACAGTGCACAAAGAATATAATTTTGAAAATATTTACATTTTTGTACAGTTACACCACAGCACTTTAATCTAAATTTCTTAATACAAACAAATAGCACCATTAGCCTTTTGCACAAATTCTTCCTAACAAACCAGAAAGCTGGATTATTGTCAAATTAGGAGACTGAAACCACTTGGAATGAGAATAAGCTCAAGAAATTCGAGGACTGTAACTCCTTACCTATTAAAAATATTGAGAGGAAGAAAATTAATTTGGAAACGGCCTAAGCATTTGCAAATAAAATCTTCCAGTGCGAGCTCTATTCAATGTGCACTACAATTAAACTAACTTCAAGAAAAACTTTTTTGTGTAAGAAGACTTAATGTTTGAGCTTATTGTTCTAGTAACTCTTCATATGCATCCCATGTATTCCAGTGGCTGCTGGACATAAAAACAAGATAACCTAGTTGATGTTTAGCCATTATGGAGCAAGTCTCCCAAGTGAGTGTGAAAAAAGGAACGAAAAAAAAAAAGAGTGACGATTTCTAGCTAATGAGCCCCCAAACATGCTAATCAACACCGTATCACGGACACAGCAAGAACTTTTTAAGTCAGTATGATAAAAAGAAGTTACTTGCTTGTGCCAATGCAAGGAAGATTAACAAAGAGCTCAGTGAAGAAATGAACAGTTCAGAGAGACATAGATAGCACCACAATGGATTGCACTAAGGTGCTAAAGGAGGTACCTTATTCCCTGCAGAGTGAATGCTATTTCTGATGTGTATTGCAATATGAAAACGCAATTGTTTAATGGTTACCATTTGATTCATTCATCTACAGAAAATGCATTCCTTCTAATATATGTTCAACTAACATTCAAATTACTGAACTATACATAATGATACATAGTTTACAACTCATGAAAACAAAGCATGAAAGAATATAATATGGTCATCTTAAGTACAGTGGGATGTTTTAAAGGATTAATATCCAGCTAAGACATTTCAATTTTTATGCTAATGGTCCAAGAGTGCTTTCTGTATCACCAAGAAGAAATGTAAAAAATTTAAAAAAGAATGATAGTCCTCACAGCTGTTAAATATTCTTAGGGTCACTGAGGTGTCAGACTACCACACTTGCAGTACTGGATGTATAAAAGTATGAACGACACATCAGGAGACTTGCTGTAAATCAGGAACTAGATTAGATGCCCATTATAGTGAATATCAGTACATCAGTCACTCGATGCATGTTCCCTTTTCTTCTGGGTTATTATTTTAAGTTTATCCCTTCCTTTATGACCCACTTCTATACCTGTATCTGTGGGCTATTTGCATCCATTTGCTTTCACTGTGGTACGCTGGTATTGTTATCCACCATTAACCTTCCAGTTTAATTAGAGATCAGGAAAACGGCTGGGGTCCTCCTTGTAGTCATCAGGAACAGTGAAGATAGCTTCATCAAATTCATCGTAACGAAACTCCTGAAAAGTCACAGTGGCTGTGATGGTGGGAAATACAGGAATATCTAGGTATGAAGCAAAATGGTACAATGAAGAGCAAAGAAATACAAGCTTACCAATAACGAGCAGTTGTTATTTACTGTCATGTCACTCCAGACTCGCTAATACATAGACACTTCTGCAATAATTCATACCATAGCAATTCAAAGCCTAAAAAACCCAAAGAAAATGTCTCTGTTTAACGAAAATTATCGCAGAATATACTCAAACAGCCTGAGTGGGGAAACAGTAGCCAACTCAATACACTATTCAAAAACATTAACACAATGAATTATATTTAATTCAATAGTTTTCTTTTCTTGATGCAAATTAGTATCACGGAAACCAAAGACGACGTAGAAGCTTGGTTTGGATGAACAACAAATTCAAGGTGCTGTGAACATGCAGATGAATCTGTTCTGAGGAAACTGCCCTGAAGATACCATGAGATAAAATAATCTTGCCATATTTAGGTTTCAGCTGAGCAAATCCACGTGCAGAGTTGAACTTTGTTGTTTGTTTTACAATACATACTTTTTCCATTTTAAATTTGGGTTGGAGGTTTAAGAATTGTCCTTATCAAAACTGGCTTACCCATGAACTAACTGAACAAGCTAAGCAAAAATTCAAACCTCAAATGCATAAAGACAACTGTGCCAATGTATTAGGAGGTAGGATTTAGTCTGTTCAGAATGTTCAGGCTTAAACAGAACAAACATGGAAAATTCTCCTGCTGCTATGCAAGAAAACCTGCAACTTTTAGAAGAGGGACGACACTACTTTTTGGCAGTTTATATTGTAATAAAGTATTTATTAAAGTAAATTAAATGAATAAAGTATTTTACACATTTCTGTCTGTTAGCAAGGGTAATAATGTTTTAGTTTCTCATTTCTTTGCAAGTCAATAATGTATCACCTCTGATCCCTGAGGGAAAAAGAAATACTCATATGAAAAACCCTTCAAAATCAAGGGGTTGATTGAAATTCCCTGATTTATATTAGCTAGAAATCTAGATGTCCCTCTAAACTGCCTTCAGTTAATCAGAATATTAAACAAAGCAAAATCTAATATACTCGCATATTTTTGTCCCAATACTGATAGCTGTTAAAGCATAATCTACATATTCTGTTGAATATTTATTCTACTCAAGACTGAGGTCATCCTTTAATGCAGGTATACTTCAATGTGTCTATGTTATTCTTAGAACAAGACCCTAGCATTAGAAACACGTAAATTAAAGAACTCTCTTCACAGCTGGGACCATTCATTCTCCTTTCAGATGCAGATTTCCCTTTTCAAACCTAAGACTACTTCCAGTAATGTAGCTATGTTCTCCTGAAATGTACAGCAACACACTCATGTTAAGGAGAGAGAGTTCTTTTCTAAAACTTAACAGAATTTTTAAACATATTATATGCACACACATTTAGGAAATATAAAACCACTAAAATTGTAGGAGTCACCTTACCTAACTTTACAGGAAAGCCTGGTGGAAGCTTCATTTGAACAAATTCTCTAAGTTTGTTAAAGTGCTTGAAGGGTGCAATTACTTCTAAAACATTCAATAATCTGAAAAAGAGAATGGACTTCATTATAAATTCTTGTTTCACAAGCTTACTTTTCCCTTCAGAAAAGATGAAAATGACCCAGAGAGCTAGGTAATTAAAAAAAAAAGTTGAAAAATTACATCATTTTAATATATATTCTTAGAGCTTCAATATCAGCATTGTCACATTTGCTTCTTAGTGATCCATAATGCTTTACTACATACATACCGACAGGCATTTGTTTCTTGTCCTCACTTTTCACAAGAAGCCGAAATATACAGTATCACTCTCACTTCTCCAAACCTCCTCCCTGAGCAAAAAGAACCTGACAGGTGGTTTTGTATTGGTTTAGAGAACTAATTGTGAGCTAATACTTGTTGTAGGCAAAGATGTTTTAGTATCCTGTAAGATCACGCACATTAGTATCATGAGATGCTAACGACAAACCAGGTCAAACTTCCAGGCTTATCAAGTAAGATTAATACTTGGGTCTTCCAGTAACAGGCACATCAGCACTGAGGTCCCCAGTTGTAACCGTTTCTTGCTTTATAACCCAACTTTATTCACATTCGTTGAACTGCCAAGGTCCCAAATCTGAAGATCAGAGGAATTTTGCAGCTCAAACACATTAATACGTTTCCTATATACAAACATTTCCAGACAATAATTTTAACTTACGATTCAATTCCTAAGGGAAATTCCTGGCTCATAGCTATCGTGGCTTTAAAGGTTTTCTTGCTCTCTTTGCAGACCAGCTCTCTACCCAGATGAGGAGCTCTTTGAAGGGGTGAAGGAAGGGGAAAGAGAAAAATAAAGTCAGTGGAACCTTGGTTTTAAAGGAAGGAAGGAAGAGTTAAGTCTGAAAGAAGTCAGTAAAGAACCCCTACAGTTAAGCAAACAGTTTTAAACAAAAGCCATGCATGGTAACAGAGGAAATGGTAGCCACTGCAATTTAGATTACTATGAGTCCTGGTAAACCTGGAGACAAGATAAAATTAAGGAAAAGACTTACAAAATATTCAAAATAACTCCACAAACTATATTCAAAATAACTCCACAAACTATATTCAAAAACACTACAAAGAGACATGGTAATTACCTAGGAATATATTTCAGGCAGTGTCAGAAGTGAATTAAGGTGACAGTACATATAGTAATATATAGGTGAACAAAGTATCAAGCTGAACTAGAAAAAAGTTAATTTTGCATTCAGCCTAGACTATGAAACAATCTCAGGAAAAGCAGAAAAGTTATTCTACTGTCCCTAGAACACAATACCAGAAAACACAGGGCAGGAAACAATTCTGTAATAGGAGAGGAGACATAAGGTAACAGATCTTTTCCTCCTCTAATTTACATTAGCTAGAAATCTAGATGTCCCATTGAACTGCCTTCAGTTAATCAGAATATTAAACAAAGCAAAATCTAATATACTCGCATATTTTTGTCCCAATACTAATAGCTGTTCAAGCATAATCTGTACATTCGGTTTGAATATTTATTCTACTGTCTCAAAATACACAAAAAATAAAACAAGTTAAAACAAAAAAAAAAAACCCAAAAACAATATTCATGTGTCTTTTTAATAAGCCCGTACTGTAATATCTTCTTCCCTGGTAACATCTGACTACATGATACTCTATAACCTCTGTGAAGAAAGGACTTTAATGATTGCTGTTTCTGGGATGCACTCAGTACACTTTAGGGTTCTTCTACGTTCAATAGCTAGGCAGCATTCGCTCCTAGAAAATAAACTGAACTGCTTGAATCTTCTACAAATGAAGGAATGGTAAATGAATTTTAACTATACCTGTTCGTTACCTAGTTGCACAGCTAGAAGAGAGTATCTTGCCAAGATTTGGCTAATATTAGTTATATATGTTATTACATTCCAAAAAGCATGCATTTTTGGACATGGCTAGAGGATCATCAAATCATACGCTTTTATTTTCATTTTAAGCCTGGTGTCTTTAATCTTTACTTACGATAGTAATAAATGATTCATGAACTATAGCAATGAGTTTGACAGAAAGTCTCCCTTAAAAAATGCCAGCTTAGACAGACATGAATCTTTTCAAAACGTTTGAATTTCAAGCTACAGGTATCAGGTAGATGCCCATCTGATATTTATATCATCAGCTGGTGCAATAATCTATTCATACAGGTGTCAGTTTCCCAACCAGTCTACTAAAGAATGTAAAACGTTTAAGAGATCAAAAACAATGGTCCTCTGTCCCCAGAAAGATATAAACAAAAAGCATGTGCAAACTAGATGACTTTGAAACATATATCAATAATCTAAAGCTGTCTGTAGAAGGTGATGTCAAACCAAAAATACTTACTTTCCATTTTCAGCAGATATGTACTCTTCCCATGTAATTGTATTGGGTGATGGTGGAGTAAGTGACTGCCGTCTCACAGGCTGTTAAGGAAAACAAGTCATGACTGTTTACCTTTCCTTATCTTCTTTCAAAACTTTATATTCAAAAGATTAAACTGTAGTTTAATTCTATAAAGAGCAGCAATTTGTTCTGTTCAGCGTGCAACTGGTACTTCACTAGGCTTCTCCATCTCTTGTTCTTCCTTTCCTGCTCTCCATTTCGATATTTGGCCTCAAACAATATTTTACATAGAAGTTGAATGTTTTAATACATCAGTTAATTCAACCATCTGAACGACAAGTAAGAAAGCACAAACTAATAAGGAAATAATTAATCATTTTTAAAAGGCTGCATACGTGTTCCCAGATGACATTTGGCTGATTCTGAATGGTTCCCAATTTCATGGTAACAACAACAGGCTTAGAGCGTTCTAATGAATCATAAGGAAAACAGGATTGAGAAGAGAACCAGAAGGGCATTCTAAACTATAAACGTTTGGTCTAAGAGAAATTTATTTGATTTGCCACAGCTAAAAATAACGATGGCTCTTAGTTAAAGAAGATAAGACTGAAATATTCAATATAATCAAAAAAATTCCTCAATGCGTGCACTAATCAGGCTGATATATGAATAGATCACATAGATACAACCTATGAATATAATCAGTTATTTTAAAGTTAAGACAATAGAACAAAAATACGATACATAAATTTTGCTAAAGGACTAGTGTGGAAGTTTATTCTCTCATGCAAAAATCGGCATGCTGTAAAGAATGACTTAAGTATACCTCAAAATTTTGTTCCATTAAGTTGCCACCTTTACTCAGGCTCTCCATGATAGCTTTATTTCGAAGAATATCCTCCTCACTAAGATGTTCTCTTCTTTTCCTTGATTCTAGCACAAGTCCATTAACCTGGTAGAAATCTGCCAAAAAGTTTCCTACTCTTTCCTATAAGAAAGAAACTTGACATTAATGAATTACAGAAGATAAAATAAGGCCTTTTAAATTCCTGCATATATATATATATATATATTTTATAAAATAATTACACTTGCACGCAATATCAGTGTACGCTCACAATAATTTAAATATAGCACAAACAAAAATTTCACCAGGAATAAAATTTCCATTAACATGAAACATCTAACTCAAAAGAGACTGTTCAAGAATTCATTTGAGAATGGCCAAGGGAAATGTGACTACAAAGCTCTTCAACAGCAAGTTGCGTTAAATGGTAATTTACACATGTAATATTTTACCTATGTAGAGTGTGGATTTCGTATTTCTTAAAAGGAAAATGTTCTAAAGCATTAGCTTGGCAGAAAAAAAAAAAAAATGTGATGAATGGCACTACCGGATGGATCCAGATGAAAACAAAACCCTTCCAGAGCTAGTCCCAAGCTAGCATTTTCCTATCTAAAGGAGATGTGTAGGTAGCTATTTCAATTTTTTCACAGCTGAGAACTTACACCTCAAACAGAAAGAAAACACTGACTACTCAGTTTCAAAGGATACTATTCCCAGAACATCTTTTTGTGCTTCCTCCTTCATTCCACTGATGTAAGAGCTTGCAGAATCCTCACTGCAAATCTTGGAATGTATGTGTGTATATACATACACGCACACTCCAAGACATAGTTACATATATACATATACAGGCTACATTACCCTAGAATGAAGTCATTTTCAACACAATCTATTCTTTTTCCCCAGCAGCTACTTTTTGTGAGCTCTTTCCAAGCTACCATGTTCTTATGAGGACAGCCCAGTATAACATACTATCATCATATACGTCCTATGTGATCAAAGCAGTGACAAAAGGGTGGGGAGGCAGCGATTTTCCCACCCCTTCCTGGGAAATGAATACCTTTTTCTTTTACTCCTTATTTCTTCCCAACCACATTACCATAACGCTGTCTGAACTATGGTGACTCCAGTAGAGTCAGTGCATGAAATTTCTTTTCAGCTTACTGTTTTGTCTTCTCGAAAAAGCCATCCCGTTTGGGCACGTGTGAAGGTAATTGATTTGGTTGATAATGTTGCTGAGTAAATATCACTGCTCATCAAAATGTCAACCTCCTCTTCTGTTTCCATCTCTGATTCCTACAGAAAAATTCCCAAATACAGAATAGAAGAAAAGGGTATTTGGCTTGCATTTCTTTGGAGCTAGATTCTTCTGAGGCATATTCTGTTTAATAAATTAATTCATCAGTCTTCTAATGGGCAGAAAAAGCTTGAGGTATTTCACATCCCATATTCATGCAGCTCCTTACCTCATGATGTATTCGCTGGTAAACTTTTTGTTCATTGTCTAAAACTACAAAAGATTCAGAGGGTGCTGCATCACCATTAAAAATGAAGCTTAAATCCCCTCGTTGGCACTTCATGTCGGTAAAGTCTATGAGAGTTGTGTCCAGCCTGTGAAAAAATACCAGTACTTTAGAAGTAGTTACCCACAAACATTAAAACACACTAATGACTTCCAATTGTATGTAGAAGCGCTTTTTGCCATAATCAAACATAGTTAGGTCTAAGTTTTCACAGAATGTTCCATAAAGGAAGTCTAGATGATGAAACAAAAAAAATTGGTATTAACAATTAATAGGTTTCACGTTGTGTGTCTACCATTATAAACTCATTCCAGGTTATTTTCATGCTATGTTCACAGGAAAATTTAATTTTTTTTCCTCCATAATGTGTATACAGTAGAATTAAAAAAGGAGAGTTTTTTTTAAACAGGAAGTTTTTATTTTTACTTTATTTTTCAAAACTTTTAGGCAAACTTTTACTTTATTCTAAAACTGCCAGCATAAGGAAGTGACAGAATTTATACAACCAGCATGTGCTACCTACTGAGAAATGTAACTACTCCATGTGATCAGCATCCTGTTCCACAAGGAGTCGCCAATAATTTGAGTAATAATGTTAAGATGTGACCCAAATTATGAAGAGGACTAAGAAAAAGACTGAACTTTGATTTGATGCTTTTTAGTTAGGCTGTTTCTATTTTTCCTCACCAAAGAGAAACACTCCCACTGACCTTAAGAATTAAAAGATGGAGCCAAGGACAAAGATCCCCCTAGCAATTCATGTGCATTATCCCTAGAATATTTACTTTAGGAAAGATAGTTAAAGAACCTGAATTTAGTGAGCATTTCAGCTCTAAGGGGTTATTGCTTAGTACTCGTCACATATTGGTCTTTGACTTCAAGAAAGAATCTGTAGCTATTTCTAGTCAGTCGTATAACTCTCAGGCTGAGATCTGACCTAAAAAGTCAGTTCACATTTCTATGCTAAAAGCTTTAATAGGAACAGAAGTTTCTACTCAATAATGATCTTGATTTTTTTAATTTTGGAACCTAAATAGAAGAGACACTTGAATCCAAAAAAATCTCATCTGAACTAGTTAGAGAGCTGTGCTTGGAAACTTTTTTTTTTTTTAAACTTTACTACAACATACAGAAAGTTTGTTTATTTGAAGTTCTTCTGTCACAAATACCATCAAATTTGCTTTTTTCAGTTAATCATTATCATGTCTGGTAGATCCAGCCATATATGGCATAAATATTTTTGCTTTATATTTTAAGTGACTCAGAAAACATAGCTAAATTCAAATTGATAAAGGCAAGTTTTAATCATACTGCTCTGTTGAGTATCTGCATCATCTACCATGGTTTTCTTTAGTCAGTTCATATGCTTATATACTAACCAATATAATTAACTACGTCTGATATGGAAGCACAAGAACATCCCAATAGGTAAGCAGGTATATACCAGTTCTAGAAACTCTTAAATATTTCCAAAAGAGTTCTATTTACAAAATTAACTCAGCTAACTGCTCAGCTCTGCCATTTGATACCAACATAGAGGCAATTTCATGCACACTGCATCAAAGCATATTTCCTGTTAAGAACATTTTTCAGTGTTTGCCAGAAATATTAGTATTTCATCCTGATAAACCTTCCTCAATGAAAGACAGCATTTAGAAATCGTCCTTAATTGCAAACTCTTCTTATAGGTTTTATTCACTCCCATAGGGATAGTAAAAACTAAGCATTAAAAAAAGAAATTAAGCTTTTCCAGTCTAACAAAAATCAATGTGAAACTTGTTTTAGGCATTAGTTTCTGGAGCGCGATCTCAATCATTTCCAGCATAGTTCAATTATATGAGAAGAATGAGAACTTTTGACCAAGTAATATGCAAAAAAGCTAAGGATCAGCCTGTGATTCAAACACTTCCTGCCTCTAAACACATGTATGTCAACACAACACCGTTTCACAGACTTTTGCAGACTCCTCACTTCTTTCAGAGCACGCTCAAATCCAGTGTTTTCACAACATGCAGTTATTTACGACTTCAGATACCACACGCTGCAAATCAGCACTTACCTGATATTTATACCTTGCTTGTGTATTTTACATGCATCAGAAGGCAGAATTCGGGAAAGTAAAGGCACTACACATAGGGGAAGACATAATATAATTAGAACATTAAAATATAAAGAGGTTCTTTGGGAAAGTATTTCTATTAAAACTATACTCAGTTTAAATCTTGATGCATTTTAACAGAAATACAACACATCCATTTTCTATCACTATCTCAACCCAAGTGCAATAGAAGAGCACCAGTTTCTTCTGCTTAGTAACTGCAAAACTGATTTGGGATTGTACAGACCACCTTCAACATTAGGATAGAACTTAAAACGTCCTCAGCTACAGCTTTATCATTTGTAACTTCCAATAAGTCGCATTCTAGCTGTCTGAAGTTTTATCCTATGATTTGGTACTACAGTGACAGAAAGTCTAGCTATAATTATGACTATATCAAACACCCGCCCAAGCAGAAAAAAATCTAATGCACTAGCGTAAGCTTAAAACCTTACGCAGACAGTAAAACCACCAGTGGAACTGTGAGTCAGTACAGTATCATGAGCTGGATATATGAGACTGCAGCTGCCCTCATTTTAAAAAGCACCATTTATTTTATAGCAATAAAACCAATTAAACATTATGGCATCTCAACACTTTCTTCAAATAGCACTACAAATAATTGAGACCACCTGTAAAATGCAATCAGCCTAAAGGACCAATAATCAGCACGAAAGACAACGCCCAGGACATCTTTTTCCTCAAGAAATGAGAATATATAAAAAAACTTAAACCATGTAGAAAGGGGTGTGCTCTACTGTACAGAGAGACTGCTGGAGAAGAGGAATCTTAAGACTTGGTTTTACTTCTGGCACTTTTCCTGTGCAGTGTCTGACTACCATCATAATACTCTGAAAGTCAGGCTGAAGTATCATCACTAAGCTGTATCTTATTCCATGCCTATCCTGACTCTCTATCTTTTTTTTTTTTTTTTTTTTTTTGCCATACGGACTCTTCTGTGAAAAAGTCCACTCATTAAAGGTGTGGTGCACAGTAGTCCACCTAAGGAAATGAAGTGTTCCGTATCTGCTCAACATTTGGTTGCAACTCAGCTGCTCATTCCTCCTCTGAACGCTTGAAGAGGCACGTATTACGGCAAGTAACTAGACTACACTAATATAAAAGAACATAGAACTACTAACTTCAGTTTCAAACATTTATAGAAAACATATAGAAAAAGATATTTTGAAGTTATTTAGACGCACTGACCATTGTTAATAAATTTCTGCTAATTTACCTAGATTTTTCTTCTACAGATGAGAGGAGGCAGAAACTGAAAAAATACTTAATGCATTTGACTAGATTATTAACGATATCAGTTATAGTGCCATATAAAACCAATATTAAAATGAAGATAAGGTTCAAAGTACACACTAAATGCTTGCACTTAACTGAAAGCTAAGTACTCAGAGTCCAGGTTGAACTTCAGGATAAATACCATAAGAAATTCAGCTGAATTACTCAAACCACTGCTCTATAGTGACACCAAATGATCACATAGAGACTTTTTCATATTTTACGTTTATAACTAAAACAACAACAACAACAACAGCAGCTTGTTCCACACCCCACTATGTCATCAGGCTACTGAACAATATTCAGATACAAAAATGAGCAACCAAAAATAGTTCAGCAAAAAAGTTGTTGTCCTTTCTTTATAACTTAGATCTTGAGAATGGGACTGTAAGTCTTACACCATGCAAACTAGAAAAAAACTGAAGCCTGAGAGAACAAATATTGAAGACCAATTATATTATCTCTATGAAAAAGAATATGCAGTTTCTTACCCCAACTTTGAAAATCCCAGTGAAGCTCTAGATAGAAGTCACCTAGCTGAGATGTAAACAACAATGTATTAACATACTTTCTAGTCAAAATGACAACTGCAAACCTTGCTGAAAGGCAGAAATTTTGTTTTGGCAAACTAATCAAAATTAAAATAGATACAATAATGAAAACTTTCTTATTTCTCTGGTGTTAGTACTTGAGCAATACTGAAATTAAACATTTCTGAAGCTTTATCTACAGTAGAATTAACAACGATGGAACAATCATTCATTTGAACAATCCATTTTTAATGATTTTTTGCTGGAAATAATGATTTACACAAATATTAAGCTGTAGATTGTAAACAAATGATATCCACTTAAAAAGATCCATTAAGCTCTTGGCTTGCTTTTATTGATCCAATCACATGGAATCATATGAACTGACTAAAATTAATGAGAATCAAGTTTTGGCTACTAATATTAACATACATAAATTTCCATTTATTTTCTGGAAACATACTTAAGTATTTATATAAAAATTCCTCTATTCCTATAAACACGTGCCAGGCAACTCCTTTAAACTGTATGAGAAGCAAAAGCAAAGTAAGGGATAACTTGCACAAAATCAGCAAATGCTGATAACGTAGCCATATACTTGCAGTCCATATAAAGCCAAAAAAACCCCAACCAAACAAACAAAAAACCAAAAACAAACCATAATTATGAGCCAGATCTTGAACCAGCAGGAAAAAAAAAAAAGGAATTAGGAAGAGCAGAGCAGTTTTAGTAACACTGAGTTAAAGTTTTCTACAAACCCATTCATATTTTTACCACTTGAGTAGGCAGGAGAAGCCCACCTCACCTAAAGGGAAATACAAATACCTATGTTTTATAACCACAATTTTAGCATACTACCAGCAATCTGAAATTGAAGAAACTGA